GGCCCCAGAGCTAAGGCTTCGTCTGAGTGATGGTATGGATACAGTTGGATCGTGTGTTCGAAAGCTCTGCTTCCTTGCATTGTGCAAAAATCTGCGGCAACGCGTAGTCGTTGGAGCTTCGGAGATTGTTCGACCACTATTGCTTGATTGAGGTGACCCCTGAGGGTGAACTCCCAGGGTATTAAATCCATTTGCATGAACTCCCGTGTTGGTAGGAGTGGGGCAGGGAGAAAAGTTTCCTCGATCAATGGTTCGAGCATCTGTTGATAATTTGGAAGCAGCTTTGAGGAGGGAATGATCACTTGGTTTAACTGTATGATCTGGTGGGGAGAGTCCGTCGCATGGGTGAACGGAGTGGACAGGTAGTTGACAACCACCGTCGAGCGGTGAGGCAGTGGGGATGGTAAAGGTAGGAACAGAGATAGGTTCATCCACATGTTCATGATCTCGCTGTCGTACCAGCCTAAGATGTGAGTTGGGTCTCGTTGAATCATCTCGATCAGTCCGTCTCCCATCCTAGAGTGACCATTCGAGGTCTTCTAGAACCAACCTTGCTGGTTCTACCCTACCACACTGTTCAGACGAAAATGGAGAGCTGGTTCTGGGAGAGTTGGGTCTGCCACTGGTCTGTGTGGATGGATGGAGGTGTTGCGAGAGTTGGTGTGGGGAAATCGGGGATTTTGGCGTGGCATGGTTTGGTAGAGAATGGGGGGAGGATGGGGTTCTAAAGCTTGGTTTTTTCTGAGGAGGTTGAGGGGTTGACGAAGTTGTAGAAACAGTGGCTAGAGGATGTGGGTTAGTGGTAACACAAAATAGCGTAGACAGTGTAGAAGAATCCCCAGGGTCAGAGAAATTATTTGCAGACTGGGAAATATCGGGAGATGGGTTCAACAAAGGACAGGGGCCTAAATCAGTGTTAGAAAGACTAGGAGGATGTAACGAGGTGACAGGGCTATCACTGAGGCAAGCAAAAGGGTTGCTCAGGGACACCCCAAGTACTGTGGGGTCACTATCAACAATTAAGGTGGCAGAGGAAGGGGTCAACGAAGTGAGAGGTTGTGGCTGACCATTAGGCGCCAAAATTTGAATTTCAGTCTTCTTCACCCAGACCTTCCGTGGTTGAACGTTGGAGTGGCTTGCCGGGTCCGGCTTCTTAGAGCTCTTGGGGCGTTTCTGAACTAACATCCAAGGGCCAAAAGGCTCACCATCTGCTGGAGGAGTATTTGCTTGGTTCTCCACTGTAGTATTCTTATTGGCAGTATTCTGGCACTCCCCTACTCTGTGACCAATCAGACCACAATGGAAGCAAACAGAGCTCAGACCTTCATAGGCTACCTTTACTAAACTGGATCTCACTGTGATCTTAGCTATTAAGGGCTTGGCTAGATCAATTTGGATGCACAAACGCGCAAAACGACCCCGATCTCCATTGACTGTATGGATGTCCATTTTATGGAGCTTACCAAGAGTATTCCCAATTTTTCGGAGAATAAAATGATCATAGTATTCAATTGGAAGACTGTGATGTCTAGCCCAAACTATGGTGGTAGATAGACTGGCCTTGGTTGGTTGAAAATCTGGCTCCCATCTTCGAACTGAGAGGAAATTGCTTCCCAAGAACCAGGGACCATCAGAGAGGACTTTGTTAAGATCTAATGCTTCATTGAAATTAATGAGATCAAAGTGATTCCCAAGGTCAATACCATGGAAGGTACTAGTGGGTTTCCAGATACTTTTCAGCTTAGACATGAAGAAGTTATAACCCAGATTCCGACCCACTAATTTAACAATCAGTGTGCTTTGCTAGGGGTCTCTGATCCTATCAATCTCATCTTTAGAAAGGGAAATGATAGGGATTGTGGTCTCTAAATTAGAAACCTCTAATGTTGTTGCCCCAAGGTCCAGCGGTTCCAAGCCATCTGTCAAGGAGAAATGGTGAGTAACGGCGTCCTTAAAGGAGCGAGGCTTGGCTACGTTATTGCCCACCGGATCTTTCAGCTTTCGGTGATGTCGCTCCAACAAGCCTGCCTCCTCCACTGAGCATTCTGAGTCAGTGTCCTCTCCGCCGTGGTCTTGTTGTGAGCTTGCTACCGTGGAATGGATCTTCGTCCCTGCGATGTCATCTGGTCGCCACGTTGGAGCTCCGCCATGTTCCATCTTCCTCTCCTATGCTACTGTTACTCCAATAGGACTACCCACTCACCAATGACAGTAGGATAAGCCTTCTGTTCAAAGAGAGTTGAGATTGTTAATTACTTATTTTCAACTCCTATAAAAGTGTTTTTCATCCTATCAATTTCATTTAAGAAATAATAATAATAAGTAATGCTTTAATTATTTGTAAATTTGCAAATAAAAATTGCTTGAAAGTAAAGCGCAAGTTTGACTTGTTTGGTAATCGAACGAGTTTGAATGAATTACAAATTATTGAGCCTCATGAATAGCTTGGTTTTTTTTTTTTTGTTTTTATTAATAAAATCTCAACTCGCACAACCAAACATACCCACCCACACAAACCACATTGCAGGCGATTGTGGATCCAATTTTTTTCAACACGTATTCCATCAGGTAGGTCCAACTCGTGACTCGAATTGGCCAAAACTGCTTGTGTCCAACCTGGGACCTGAACATTGAGAATTTTTGACCAAATACAATAATATGACTTGAACCATACACGAACTTAATGGATTAGGATTGACCAATTTCTGATGTGAACACGTATATGATATGACTCAAAAACACAAATATTAAATGGGAAATTTCACTTCAATGTAAATTTCAGAAAAAAATTAAAAATAAGTAGTAAACTTTGTACACATTAAAAATTAAAGTTATAAACTTTTTTATAAATCTGTAATAATTTTTTGATTGTACCACTGATCCGTAATTTTCCCAATACTAAATAGGTCAAATTAGTGTCAAACATGGATAACACGATATTGACACGAATAACTCATTTAATAAACAACTTGTTACATATTTTTAAAATATTTTCATTAAGGGGTGTAATGACATTTTTGAGTCTCTTATGTAACTCCTTTTAACTTATTAAAAAATATATAAAACAAAATTTTAAAATAAAAGAAATAACAATTCTAAGGATCAAGTTTTTTCGTCACCAAAAATAAAAATTATGTTGTAAAAAACATTTGAGAACTAATTTCTATTATTGCGAAGATAATTGCTAAAGATCGTCCCGAAAGTTAAAAAAATAATTTTGAGCAACAAAAATTTGAAAATGTCAATAATTTTTAGCGGTATAAATAATTTGGTTTATTTTTTGAGACAAAAAAAAAATTGTCCCAAAAGAATAATAATTCATCACTAAATGTTCAACTTGGTCATTAAAGTTACAATAATGATACTTTGCACAACCAAAATATTTTGTTTCTAAAAATTGATCTAAAACCTTAATTTGTTATACTGAGGGTTTTGTATTACACTTTATACTCCTAAACCATTGCCAAATTGTGTACTTAGTCCATGAACTATCGATTGAGTTTATTAAGTCCTTAAATTATATAAATCAAAGTCTTTTTAGTCCCTAAACTATCGATTGAATCTATTAAATCTTTAAAGTATTTAATTCAAACTTATTTATTCCTGAAAGGATAACAAAAATAAATTATATGCCCATAAGTATTACAAATTATTAAAAAACCCTACCAATTTATAACGGTTTCAGTTTTGACCCATCCCATTTAATGCTCTTAGATCCGGGAATCCATGTCCTTAACTATTATTCATTTCATTTTCATCTTCTTGATAGTTGAGTTTGGCTATTTGGGAGTTACGATTGTCTTTGAAACAGGTTGAGAGTTAGTTTTTTTCAAAAAAAGTTGTTGTTCAGATTTTTGCCTGATCGCTCGAGCGGTCTATCTTGCACTCAAGTAGTCTTTTATAGTCTGCAAAACTTCTAGAAGTGAGGTATTTGTGCTCGAGCGGTCTTTTACAAGTCTAAAATTCTAGAAAAAGGGTCATTGAGCGCTCGAGCAATATTTTTGGTCACTCAAGTGGTGTCGCTTATTATGTCTGGTGTTCCAGCGGTGTTTTGGTCGCTCTAGCAATCTACGGGTGGATCAGTCCAAGAAAAGAGTTTTCTGAGTCACTTTTTCATTCCTCTCTCTCTCTCTCTCTCCTTAAACATTTCAAAAATCCTAGATCTTCACTCTCTTTCTCTCTCTCTAATTCTTGCATTCAAGGCCCAAATACTCACAATCTATTGATTTCTTCACCCTAGCCCTTTGGAGTAAAAGGTAGAGCACAACGAGAGCTTCATTTTAATCGGAGGAGTAATCGTTTTTGGCTCCGCTAAACTTTAACCCTTGTTCTCTCTTATCTTCTATTCTTGAGATAGGGATTTCTTCAATCTTTGGTATGATTTTACCTTAGTTATTTGTCCATGGGAAGAATCTAGTGATTTAGAGATTTGGGATTAAACCTAGGGTTTGGTTTTGAAATGTAAAAGAGAGATTTTCAAATAGGTTCTTTGGAAAGGTTGTGGAGATGTGCTATTGGTTGAGATATGCTTAAATGGGGGATTTCTTTAATCAAAACTGATTTTGAAAAAAAAAAAGAAAAGAAAAGGGAGTTTTGTTCTAAAATCATGGATTTTGGTTTGTGAAAGATAATGGAAATGATGTTGGGTTTTGTACGAATGGAACAATATATATGTTGATGATGATGGTGGAGTTGGACATGTAATATCACTCTCATTTTGAAAATGATGAGATTATGTCATTTGTTGGAAATTATTTGTTGTATAGAAATATTTGTTTTGGGCTATCGGTGGAGGATATCTTTGATTGTTGTAGAAATTGCATGAGGATTAGGTGAATTGAAATTAATTACTCATACATCTTGCATTGAGCATCGTTTCATACTTAAGCATTGAAAATGTATTGTTTTGAGAAAAAATTGTGAATCTAGTTAGAAGGTGTGGTTGTGGTTATTATGTTGGTGAAAGTCCAGAAACCCGCGCGGTTAGGTGTTAATCATTCCGATTAGTACCAGTAAAATAGCTTTGGTAGTGCTTGTATAGCCTACTGGTAGATGCGTACCTAGAGATTTTCAGTATTTTGTATCAACTGCCATGTTTTTTTATATAAAATGTTATTTTCATGAATTGATATATAATTTGGTATTGCATTGTTTTAAGATGGAAATGTGAAACGTTTGACAAATGGCATGTATATACATTTACCTTATGACTTCGTTTAGATTCATATATTGTGTTAAAGTATCTCTACTGGGCTTTAGCTCACCCTATGTGGAAAACAACTTTTAGGTACTGATGATATGTCTCCACCAAGGACATAGCTTGGGAGGATTTGGAGCCAATGGCTTCATTTTGTTATTTGATGTAATTATTTTGTACAAGCATTAGACTTTAATTGTATTGAATTGAACTCATTTTGAGATACCCAAGCATCGACTTGGAAAAATGTAGCCATTAGGGCATATAATTACATGATTTTACTTCTATTTTAATTCATGTATCCATGTTATATGCTATAGATTCAGGATTTAGGATTTATGAATGTATACCTCATATGTCATCTTTTGTATGATCAAACTTATAAATAAAATATAAAATATGAGGTTATTGATTATTTGTAAGGAATATTATAAGATGGGTTATTGTTATTATTTTCAGAGCGTTACAACTTGGTAACCGAGTTTGAATACTTGGGATCGTGAGATGTGGTTTTTCTCACAATGGGATATCTCGCTCGATGATATTAGAAGTAGACCTGGTATACTATTTGATAATATGCTTATGTGACTAAATGAGTGTGGGATTCAATTTCTTAGATATTGATTGGGCCTAGGAGTTTCTAGAAGTCCTGTCAGAAGAGCACTTGATCACTGCTATTTCTAACTAGAACTCTGGCAATGTCGCGAGACTACCACTATCTAGAAAAGAAGTTCGTTTGTGTTTATGTGATTAGGTGCTTATGTGGAGTGAATTAATTTTTGTCCACCGTATTAAGACATGAGTGAATTAGCTTCGGCACATTTGTAAATGTGTTAATCTATTGTGTTACCTTTATTAGGATGTCAGGAGGTGGACGTGGTGGTGGTAGGTGTGGAAGGCCTAGACGACAGGAGGTGCCATTACCAAATGATATTCCAGTACAAGAGGAGGGAGTTGGTCAAGCCAACATGGACGAACCAGCAGGTTAGCAAGCCATGGGCGCTTTGGCCTGTGAAATTGGTGGAGCTTTGTGGGAATCTATGAACATTCTCAAAGTTGAAAGTCAAGTCCAGGCCCATGTTCCTGAGACATGGCCGTCTTTTCTGAAGATAGAGCTCTTCTAGTCGAATCCTATTAAGTTTTTGGGAGATCCGAAAGAGCTAATAAAGGCGGATGAGTGGCTTCAGCAGATGTTGAAGACGTTCGAGATGCTTAGCATCGAGGACGACGGTTTGAGAGTGACCTTGGCATGCTTCCAATGAAGAGAGATGCGGGTCAATGGTGGAAATATGCATGAGGGCACATTAGGGTGACTTGGGAGGCCTTTGTCAACGCCTTCCAGGACAAGTTTTTGCCTCCTACTACTAAGGAGAAGTTGAGAGATCAGTTCTTTAAAATCAAGCAGCTAAACACACCTATAACTGAGTTTAAGACTGCTTTTACTAGCCTCTCTAGATTTGCACCGAACTTATGGTGGCGGAGGAACGTCGTTACGTCAAGTTTGAGAAGAGATTGAGGATTGGGCTCCTTTTCAAGATGGTTGGCTCTATGT